ATTATAAGTGAATTTTTGCATACTTTAATCAACCAGACAGTCATGGAATATTCAGTAAGTGCTTCCTAGCTGTCAGGATTGTGATGACTGAAAGATACTAAAACAAATAGTTAACTGATTTTATCAGGTTGGTTGAGCATGAATTAATACTGAATTTATGGACTTATCCTAAACTGTTTCCTGTCAAAAATATGCTCAAAACTGCTATTTACTGACATTTGTTTTCATTTTACCAATATTTCTTTTAATGTACATTAAAAAACTAGCAAAAGAAATGTATACTGTAAAGACATGGTTGATTAAATATAAATTATGTTTTGTTATACCACTCCTTCCACTCTGTCAAAAGATAAAACATATTAGTATCTCTGAAATCAGGATAGGAAAAAAAATGCTTAACATCCTCATTCCAAGGAACTTTCTACGAGTCAATTTATTTACTTAGGTACTTAGGTTAGGGTGTTTGTTTGTTTTGTTTTGTTTTGTTTTTCTCTTTTGCTATGAGACACTCATGCTCACAGGAGAAACACACACAGGTAAAGAGTGAGAAAACATGTCTCGAAGGATGGCCATACCGCAATTCCTTTCTCATTCTCTTCTCTGGAGTTTGGGAATGTACACACATGTGCCCAGCATGTTTTTCAAGGTGCTTGGTCTGCAACTAAAACTGTGCAGTTGCCCATGTGGGATCCAGCCATCTTAACCATTACACCACTGAACTGGCCCTATTCTTAATAATATACATATTTTCTGTTCTTTTTATTGTCATCAGTCTTGTCATTTATTTATTATTCTGTTAGTCTTATACTTGGGGTTCAAAAAAGTAAGCCAAACCACATCTAATCCCTGCACACAGGGAGGCAGCCATCCAACAGAACTATTCATTGCTTAGATAAATAAAATAACACTTGCAATAATGAAATCAAATAGCCATAAAAAGGAACATATTCTTTGACAGAAAGTCAAAGAATATGGAAGATTTATTGCTGAATGAAGCAAGCCAGGCTATGAAGGAGAGACATTGTATGTCCCCATTTAATATATACCGAGTGTCCACAGTCTATGAAACTGATTGACTAAAACATGTGCAAACACAAGAGATGGGTGTGAATGCCAGATGTGTTGTGTGTGGAGGGGCCCTGGGGAAGGACATTTGGAGGAAGGATATGGAGGCAGAGCATTGACAGGATGGAGAGGTGTGGTGTTATCGGTTGAAGATATTTTGATCAACCGGACTGGGGAGAAATGTTCACTTATTGAAATGTTCACTTTGTAAGTGTCTGGTGAGCACATGTGCCCTATTGCAAAAACCTCCAAAAAAAAAATCCTCCAAGATTCTGAAGATGTATAAGCATCATTAATAACCCCATCTTGGAACGAGCAGTTGGTGTAATGGCTATGTCGCTGGACTCCCATGTAATCGACAGCGGTTCGAATCCTGACCCTGTGGATTAAACTCACGCTGGGCACATGTGCATATGTGCCCAAGATCCCAAGAGGAGAATAGAGGAGAAGGGATCATTACGTGGTCATCTTGGACCCTGGGAAGTGACTTCTCACTTTCTGTCTCTCTGTTTCTCTCTGTCTTTCTGTGGATGCATGTGCCCTATAGCAAAAACCTATAAAAAAATCTTATGTGAAATAATAAATCAGAGCCCATGTTATAGGTAAAGTTTCACTAATCACATCTAGCTAATAGATATAGTTGTTCTAAAGAAACTACAAGTCCAATATATATTAGAGTAATTAAATTTGTGATGAGAAACTGTATTTAATAACTGGAAAGAATGTGCCATGTTCTTGATGTTCTCTGGTATAAGACATTGCTCTATAAGTCTTTGTTGTCAAAAAATACCTGTTAATGCCAAGTTCTACAGAAGGCTCCATTGGGATCACCTTTCAATATCACAAAATTACTTTATCAATGGGTAATATTCTTTAGTGTTTATGCAGTTTCTGAAATACTTTAAATAGGAATAGTTACATTTTTAAATAGTTGGACAATTTGCAAAGAACCTGCACAATAAGGAAGCTCTTTGTACAAACCTAAGTGCTGTTGAAAACAATCCCAGTATTACTGTGAGTGAAAGTTAGCTCTTGAAATTTACAATTATATTTCCAATTATAATTACCAATGTATTTTCAGAGAAAATTCACTATGGTAACAATCCTGTTAACTACTCCCTAAGAATACCTTGGGGATAAACATGTTTAGGCTCTTTCAGTTATTAGGTCCCCAATGACATAAGAATGTATGTAAAAACTCTCAGTTCTACTGGTGAAATTATTAATTGGGGCAATTAGAAAACAGCTCCTTCCTTGGTAAGTAGCTTCCATGGATATTAGACTGGCTGTAATGGTAAAGAAGTCAGCTTTGAATCTACAGTCAAGAACAACTGAATTGTGCCCAAATATCTGGAAAGTCACATTTATCACCCAGTATTGCACCCACAAAATAGTTGCTTTGTGTCAATTTTTCTGATATAGCTTTTGCAGGCATCTGAAGCTCCTTTTGTTTAAATACGAATTTTGTTACAGGTTAGAGAAGTGAAGAATGGCTGCCTATTTCTGATGATTTGAGTTAATGTATCTCCTAACCTAAAATTAGTTTCTTTGGGAAGTGTTTAGTGATTTGGGTTTCATTTGTTTGTCTGTTTATTTTTTTAAAGTATTTTCCATAAGGCATATGTGCTCACCAGAGAAAGAGAGAAAGAGAGAGAGAGATAAGAGACAGTGAGAAGAAAAGTAAGAAATCACCCCCTCAGGGGGATGGCCATGCCAAGATCCCTTGTTCTCCATTTTCTGTCAGGATTTTGGGCATGTATGGGCATGCATTGGTGTGATTTTCTTTCTTTCTTCCTCCTTTCTTTCTTTTTCTTTCTCTTTTTCTTTCTCTTGAGATATTTTTGCTATAGGGCATGTGCACTCACCAGAGAGTCAGATATTGAGAGACAGAAAGAGAGATGTCACCCCCTACGGGAGATGGCCATGCTGCATTTCCTTCTCCTCCATTACCTTTAAGGGTTTTGGGCATGCATGCATATGCACCCAGTGTGAGTTTAGGCTGCCAAGTTTGGGACTCGAACCATAGTCGACTAAGTGGGAGTCTAGGGACATACCTGCTATGCCATCTGCTGGTGCCATCAAATTCTCTGTTTCTTAGCTTCCCTTATCTATAGAGAAAAGATGATAATGATAGCAACTTTATCATAAGGCATATTGGGTGGGTGACTTACTTTTTTTTTACATATTTCCAAGTACATCCTTCTAAGTCAAGATCAAATTCTGTATATTTTAAAGTCAAGATTCTGTCTATGCTTGGAAATATTCTGAGATCCCTAAATAATATTTATTTACATTTATATCAGACTCAGAAATCTGAATTATGCTAGCAAAAAAAATAAATGTCAGTTTAATATGTCTGTTGATGACAGTTAACCATTGAGGAGGCAGTAAAGAGTAATTTTATTTAATCAGAAGTTAATTATAAGTGAATTTTTGCATACTTTAATCAACCAGACAGTCATGGAATATTCAGTAAGTGCTTCCTAGCTGTCAGGATTGTGATGACTGAAAGATACTAAAACAAATAGTTAACTGATTTTATCAGGTTGGTTGAGCATGAATTAATACTGAATTTATGGACTTATCCTAAACTGTTTCCTGTCAAAAATATGCTCAAAACTGCTATTTACTGACATTTGTTTTCATTTTACCAATATTTCTTTTAATGTACATTAAAAAACTAGCAAAAGAAATGTATACTGTAAAGACATGGTTGATTAAATATAAATTATGTTTTGTTATACCACTCCTTCCACTCTGTCAAAAGATAAAACATATTAGTATCTCTGAAATCAGGATAGGAAAAAAAATGCTTAATATCCTCATTCCAAGGAACTTTCTACGAGTCAATTTATTTACTTAGGTACTTAGGTTAGGGTGTTTGTTTGTTTTGTTTTGTTTTGTTTTTCTCTTTTGCTATGAGACACTCATGCTCACAGGAGAAACACACACAGGTAAAGAGTGAGAAAACATGTCTCGAAGGATGGCCATACCGCAATTCCTTTCCCATTCTCTTCTCTGGAGTTTGGGAATGTACACACATGTGCCCAGCATGTTTTTCAAGGTGCTTGGTCTGCAACTAAAACTGTGCAGTTGCCCATGTGGGATCCAGCCATCTTAACCATTACACCACTGAACTGGCCCTATTCTTAATAATATACATATTTTCTGTTCTTTTTATTGTCATCAGTCTTGTCATTTATTTATTATTCTGTTAGTCTTATACTTGGGGTTCAAAAAAGTAAGCCAAACCACATCTAATCCCTGCACACAGGGAGGCAGCCATCCAACAGAACTATTCATTGCTTAGATAAATAAAATAACACTTGCAATAATGAAATCAAATAGTCATAAAAAAGAACATATTCTTTGACAGAAAGTCAAAGAATATGGAAGATTTATTGCTGAATGAAGCAAGCCAGGCTATGAAGGAGAGACATTGTATGTCTCCATTTAATATATACCGAGTGTCCATAGTCTATGAAACTGATTGACTAAAACATGTGCAAACACAAGAGGTGGGTGTGAATGCCAGATGTGGTGTGTGTGGAGAGGCCCTGGGGAAGGACATTTGGAGGAAGGATATGGAGGCAGAGCATTGACAGGATGGAGAGGTGTGGTGTTATCGGTTGAAGATATTTTGATCAACCGGACTGGGGAGAAATGTTCACTTATTGAAATGTTCACTTTGTAAGCTAAATAATATGATTGAATACATAAAAAAAATAAAATAAAATCTACTGAAAAAAATAGCTACTAACTTCTTAACTATATTTCTCAGGTTTTAGAAGTGCAAGAATTTTAGTGTAGTTTGGTTTTTGTTTGTTGCTTTTAAAAACAATACAATAACTTTACATTGACCTATTTCTTTTTTTTTTCATCTATACAACATTTTAGGATATTATCATTCTCATAGAAGAAAAACAACACAGAAGATGGAATTGACAGAAGGAAACTACACCTTGGTGACAGAATTTATTCTATTAGGGTTTCCAACTCGCCCTGAACTGCAGATTGTGCTATTTCTCTTGTTTCTGACATTGTATGGTATAATTTTAATGGGCAACATTGGGTTGATGATATTGATTAGAATTGATTCGCACCTCCAAACACCCATGTACTTTTTTCTTAGTAACCTATCCTTTGTAGACCTTTGTTTTTCCTCAGCCATTGTTCCAAAAATGCTGATTAATTTTCTCACAGAGAAAAAATCTATTTCCTATTATGGCTGTGCCCTGCAGTTTTATTTTTCCTGTGCCTTTGCAGATACAGAATCCTTTATCTTGGCGGCCATGGCGTATGATCGCTATGTCGCCATCTGTAACCCTTTACTGTATTCAGTTGTGATGTCTCGGGGCATCTGTGTGTGGCTGATAGCCTTGTCATATGTTGGAGGCAATGCGAGTTCCCTGGTTCACACATCCTTTGCCTTTATTTTGAAATATTGTGACAAGAATGTTATTAATCATTTTTTCTGTGATCTCCCTCCTCTGCTTAAGCTATCCTGCACAGACACTTCAGTTAATGAGTGGCTCCTCTCCACATATGAAAGCTCAGTGGAGATTATCTGTTTTATCATCATCATTGTCTCATACTCTTTTATCCTTGTCTCAGTCTTAAAGATCCGCTCTACCAGTGGGAGGAAGAAAACCTTCTCTACATGTGCTTCTCACCTGACTTCTGTGGCTATCTATGAGGGGACTCTTCTCTTCATTTATTCACGGCCCAGCTCCCTGTATTCTCCCAACATTGACAAGATTATCTCAGTGTTCTACACCATTGTCATCCCAGTGCTGAATCCATTAATTTATAGTTTGAGAAATAAATATGTAAAAGATGCAGCTAAGAAAGCTTTAAGATCGGGAACCAGCAGTTAGCGTAATCGCTATGTTGCTGGACTCCCACGTAGTCGACCGCGGTTTGCATCCCGGACCCGGTGGCTTAAACCTCACGCCAGGCACATGTGCGTGTGTGCCCAAGATCCTGAGAGGAGAATGGAGGAGAAGGGATTGTGGCATGGCCATCCCCCCTGGGGGTGATATCTCGCTTTCTGTCTCTATGTCTCTCTCTGTCTGTCTGGCGAGCGCACGCGCCCTATAGTGAAAAATCTCTTACAAAAAAAAAAAAAGCTTTAAGATCAAAGTAGAGTGTTCATGAAATGTAACTATCTAAGATAGATGTAGTTTCCCAGTTATAAATTTTAATTGTGAAGTCACAATAACGTTACCATCAAACACAACTTCTCACGCTAGAAATTTTATCAGCATATTTTTTTTTGGCCATAGGCTTTGTGTGCTTGCTGAAGAGAGAGAGAAACAGAGAGAAGAAAGTGAGAAATCACCCCCCACAGGGGATGTCCACACTGCAATTCCTTCTCCTTCATTCTCTTCTCGGGACCTTGGGCACACATGTACATGCCCATGGCATGATTTTCAAGTCACTGGGTCCATGATTTGGACTGTAGTTGACCATCTGGGAGTCCCCTCTTAAACATTATGCCACCTGCAGGCCCCCAAAAGATTCTCTTTAACACAGCCAAGCACATTTTGTAACTTGCAAATATAAGCAAACCTTAAAATATTTCAAAATTGCTGCTATGTGATGGATAACTGTTAATGGTTATGAGACTGGAGTTTATGCTCAAGTAGGTTGTTTTATGCCATTTTAAGTGATGTAGTAAAATATCTCAGAAAAGTGTGTGTGTGTGTTTACAGTATATTTTTTACATATGTAGATTATTAGATAAATGAAGAATCCAAATTATATCTGCATATATTCAAGGTCTAGGCTAGGTAGTGATGTCAATTTGAACAAGTTATTTTTATTATGCCACAGTTAATATTCATAATGGGAGAATACCATACCCAAACCAATCAGAGTTTGCTGAAAAGTGAGCAGAGTTAATAGTTCAGTGTTGATGATGATGTGTATGGTATAATTTTTTTGATTGAACCAAAATGCAGTGTATTCATGATGGAAAAATTCATTTAGTATGTTGCAATAAACACAGCGATTGAATGTAAATAATTAAATAAATAAATTGTAAAAGAGAAGTGATAAGGGACCAGCAGTTAGCGTAATGGCTATGTCGCTGGACTCCCACGTAGTTACCACGGTTCGAGTCCCAGACCTGGTGGCTTAAACTCACGTCGGGCGCGTGTGCGTGTGTGCCCAAGATCCTGAGAGGAGAATGGGGGAGAAGGGATTGTAGCATGGCCATCCCCCCTGGGGGGTGATTTCTTGCTTGCTGTCTCTCTGTTTTCTGGCGAGTGCATGCACCATATAGCAAAAATTTATCCAAAAATAAAAGAAGAGAAGTGATGAGAATAGTCTTTGGATATTTTCAGCACTTGATAGATATTTGTCATTGCATGTCTCATGTAGTATCCCAATGAACTAAAATGCATATAGTACAGGAAGGTGATGAGAGCCAAAATTTTAAGAAACTGACAACCCAAAATCAAATAAAAATTTGAGGTGCAGTTTAAAGACACGTTGACAACCTTCTACACCATCTATTCCAAAGCAAATTGAAAGGTGTTTTGTTTTTTGTTTTGTTTCGTTTTGTTTTTAACAGCAGCCTGAACAATATAGTTTAACTACAAGGTAACCTTTTTTTCCCTCTATCTTTTCTTTTTTAATATACCAAGTATTACTGAATGTGTGGAACACACTTCTCTGGCATCTCAAAAGCAGAATAAGCTATCTAATTTATCACATGGTCCTCCTTGTGAGATTGACCTAATGGAGAACGAAAAAACAAACAAACAAACAAACAAACAAAACACTACACAGAATATGTTTGAAGATTCAACTTGGAGGAAGTGTATCATAGCAAACTGTATTTAGTAATCCATTATTTTGAAATATATAGTTTTATTTTATGACAATAAATATAAGCTGTGACCTAGAAATATCAGAACTTAAAAGTATGTTTAAATCCATGTAATTCTTGTTACAATAACATGTAATATACAGCTCAAATGCTTCTTTTGGTCAACCTTAAATTCTCATAAGAAACTTTTCATGGTATTTTGAATAAAAAATATTTTTTTCTCAAGCATTTATGTTGGTTAAATTAGTAGGAAAGAAACTCATGCACTCAGAGCAACAGAATCACACCTACAAACTCCAATATTAAATTAAGTTTTAGTCATATTTGACCAAGATTCACTTAGCCAAGGTTATAGAGAATCACACAGAGCAGTTTAGGTGCAGTATATCTTAATATGACTTTACATGCCCTGGGTCCTTAAGATATGGGTGTCAGCATCAATTAGTGATGATATCTACAATGGATAGCATCACATTTCTTTTTTTTTTTTTTTTGTGTTTTGCTATAGGGTGCGTGCACTCGCCAGACAGAAAGAGACAGAGATAGAAAGCGAGAAATCATCCCCCAGAGGGGATGGCCACACTGCGATCCCTTCTCCTCCATTCTCCTCTCGGGATCTTGGCCACACACGCACACACGCCCGGCGTGAGTTTAAACCACCAGGTCGGGGACTCGAACCGCGGTAGACTACATGGGAGTCCAGTGACATAGCCATTACGCTAACTGCTGGTCCCAGCATCACGTTTCTTATGAAAATCTTATTTTCACTACATAATTACCTTTGCATTTTATTTTACTTTTTTTTCTTATATAAAAGCATGTGCTTATGCCCAAGAGCGAGAGAGATGAACACTCTCTATGGGGTCTGGTCATGCCACAGTCCCCTTCCTCTAGTTCTCCAGCCCATCAGATCTTGGGCACTCACTTGGTCCCTAGCACTCGGGATTCGAATAACAAATCCTGTGGGGTCTTCCTTCCCTTGAGCAGCACATTATCAGTACATCACTTTCTCACCACTGCCCTTTGATATTTAGTAATTACATCACCAAATACTATATCGCTTATGCGAAAACATGGCTATTTTAACGAGAATAGTCAAATTGAGCGTGGCAGTATATTTGCTGGTCCATGGGTGATTCCAATGTAAATTTGGAGAAGCATTTAGAGAAACAAAATCCTTCCCGTGCTGTGACTGCTTCCTACTATTGGAAGGCTGCCAACATCTGCTGAATTTTCCAGATAACTTGTACTCTGTATTCTTCATGTGAACCCTCCTCTCCTTATCCCTGCCATTTAATCACCTTAGCATTCATACACTTGCTACATTGCCATGGTTAGCTAAATTTGTGTTTTGGATCCAGCACAGCCGGGATTTTCTGAGGCCACCCACTTGCCTTTAAGTCAACTAAGTAAGACCTTCCTCTGGGATCCTTGCTTCAGCCTGTGTGGACTTTGTGCTGCTACTGAAAGCTGTTTAATACCCATTTCAGAAATACAAGCCAAATCCTGTAAGTATTATGGGAATAGGAGATATATCCAAATTAATGAATTTACTTTTTTTAACTGATTGTGACCCAGGAGGGAATTTAGCAAATGCTGTTCCGTCCTTTCTTCAGCCTGTGTCAACCTTGTGCTGCTACTGAAAGCTGTTTAATACCCATTTCAGAAATACAAGCCAAATCCTGTAAATATTATGGGAATAGAAGATATATCCAAACTAATAAAATTACTTTTTTTAACTGATTGGGACCCAGGAGGGAATTTAGCAAATGCTGTTCCCATTCATAACCATGACAGGAATATATAAACTACCTACAACTTTTTAATTTTTAACCATGTTTAACCCTCAAATTAAAAAAATAGCAAAACTGTGCTTCATATATATATATATGTATATGTATATATATATATATATCTGACATATATGTATAACATATATAACACACACATATATATATATATAAAACTGACATATATATAAAATATATATATAAAACTTCTAACATATATGTATATATGTGTATATATATATATATATCTGACATATATGTATAACATATATAACACACACACATATATATATATAAAATGAAAATAAAAAAGATATATAAAGCATCTTATCCACCTTAGGTGGTTTAGAATTTTTCAAGCTATGTCACATGTTACCTTTGATATCCTGTAGCTTGTTAAAATATTGAGATAGACATTTAACAAACTTCCTATGTCATACATCACAGGTACTCAAGCGTGCACAAGAGAGAGAGCAAAAAAATGCTTCCTGGAGTGATTCTCATACTATAATTCCTTTTCCTTTATTCTCTTCTCAATATTTTGGGCATGCATGCAAACATTTCAAGTGTATTTTTCAAAGCACCAGGTTAGAACTCAAGCCATGCTTTTGCCATGTGAGCTCCAGTAGCCCAAACCACCACACTATTGATTGGCCTTGAATTTATTCTTAAGTATTAATTTTTTATAGCTGTTATAAATGGGGTTACTCTCTAGATTTCTTTTTCAGAAAGGCCATTATTTGTAGAGAAATGGTACTGATTTTCACATGTTGATTTTCTATCCTGAAAATTTACTGAGTTTGTTCATCAGGTCTAACAGCTTTTTGATGGAATCTTTAGAGTTTTCTATATATAAGATCATACATTCAGGGTTTAGTAAGTTTCAC